TGTTTTAACGTAAATGGCAGTGATGTGAAATGGAACATAGGAGCTGTTGTTAAATCAATCAAGACAAAATAACTATAAATGAAAACTATCCAGGAGGTAGTAGAACTACCTGAGTAATACAGACACTCAGCTACCCATTGCCATCAGTGTTGTGACATGGGTCAGTATGCCCAGTTGAACGCTTTTGGCCAAACTTTCTACTTTGTGGGTGGAAGCATCAAAGAGTGCCCTCTGTTTTTCAGAGTGGCAAAACGGTCTATGACTTTGCTGTCACTCAGCTGACTTAGTATGCCATTTTCAATAGCCTTGACTGCGAGGTTATGGAGCCTTCTCTGCCCCATTGTTTGACGCAGCCAGGTGTGCAATCGACGCAGTGCACTGAAGGACCTTTCACATGACCAGCTACTTACAGGCAGTCAGAGCAACTTAGAGGACCTCTTTCAGAGAGGGAGACATGTCTGTGTTTAGGAGGTTGTATACAGCTAGCATGTCTTGGGATGGATTCCCAGCATCTGCTTTGCGAGCAATGAAGTTTCTGGCAACAAGGACCTCCTCTGATTTAGGTCAATGTTATAGTGCCCAGCAAGTTCTTTCAGGTTCACTTCATTCAAGAAGTTCTCAGATTTAGGACTGCATGCCTGTATGCCTTTTAGGAGTCTTGTATCTACACTGGCAAATCTTTCGTCAAGCTAATCTTTCGTCAACCATCCTATCCAAACAGGGGAAAAACAACTCTGTTTTCAGGACCTCCGAACTCCGTTGTCTCACTCATTTTTCTCTGTTTCTGCCTTTTCTTGGCATGTGGTTCTTGAATGCTGTGTGTGAGGCAGAGTGCCTTGGTTCTCTCAAACATTTCGGTGGCAAATGCATCTGTGCGTTTACCTTTGAGAGTATCACACACAGCATCTTTGCAAATCAGAGCTTCTGCCAGGTCTAATGTCTCCTTCTGAAGGAGTTTGTGGAGTCCTTCAGTGATAGACAGAAGTGTCTGAAACATCAAGAGAGCATAGATGGTTAAGAACACTGATAGCTTTGCTCTGATTCCAATAGCCAAGGGAGACCCAGTGACAGAGAGGCATTCAAATATGGCAGGTAAGGTCTGAAGCATTGCATTGATTGATTGCAGCTGACATGCCCAACGTGTGTTGGAAAGTTGCACAAGCTCTACTGCTGCCAACCCAAGCCTGGGCTGAGCATCTTTGAACTTATAGTGATTCACTAGAGAGGTGGTGAAAAAAGAATACACACTCTCCAACAAAGCAAATAGCTCCACAGCCTCCGTAACAGCCTTGCAAGTGTGGCACAACACTAGGTTGAGCTCATGTGCATAGCAGTGTATATAGATAGCTTCAGGATGAAGCCTTCTAAAACGTGCCTGCACGCCTCCTATGGGTCCACTCATGACCGCGGCACCATCATAAGTCTGTGCCACACACTTGACATGAGCAAAGCCATTGATCTGGAGCTGCTCCTGTAGCTTGTCTGCAATGGACTGGGCATCAAAGGACATCAGTTCTGAAAGTGCTAGAAACCGTTCCTTTACCTCCCCCTCTGACACATACCTAACACAAACAGCCAGCTGCTCTGACCGACCATCTCTTGCCTCATCCGCCATGATGGAATACATTTTGGAGCGTGTGATCTCAGACACAATGGCACTGGTCACTTCCTGAGCACAACACTCAATCATCTCATTCTGAGACACTGGTGAGGTGTACGTGGCATTTGATGGAGGATTGTGATTTTGAAGGAATGGATCAAATGTCATCAAAAGCTCCATGCAAGCCAGGAAGTTGCCTCTGTATGTGCTCTCTGCACCACGAAAGGGTAGTCCCTGGGCCCCTAACATTGAGGTGACTGCAACAATTCGCTTCAGATGTCTCTTGTGTCTATGCTGTGTTGTCTCTTAACATGCATTTAATGCTGATACTGTGACATTTCTGACACTGACACAGGCAACAAAATTAAACGAACTCAGATGCCTGTTGCAAAGCGCAGTTCAGCGACCATAACAGTTTGTAACTTCTCATACGGTATGTGACATAGCCTGTGCAACGTCTTTAACTCGTTACATTATGGCGCAGCCAAAACACAGTGTTCTCTGTGGATCTACTGACCTCAGTCGAGACCTCCTCAGCATCAGCTTTGTGTGTCTCCTCCCGCTCCTCACTCACTCTCTTAAAAAATCTTCTTATATCCATCTAGCTGCTAGCCAACGTCACTCGCAATGCTGTGCGACAGTCTCCAACTTGGTCCGGCAAAGCAACATGCCCGCGGTGCCAATCACGTGACACTAGTGTAGCCAATGAGGCATGGGAATCATAACGATATTAATTTTATTTAATTAATACAAACTAAAACGTGTATTTATCAGTTAAATATCAGTTTAACTCGTTTATTGCTGATTTGTGTTCAGTGTATGCCTGCGCTTGTTCTAAATGTATATCTAAAAAATATATAAAATTCCAAAATATTCCCAAAATTATAGGGTGGCTGAGGACTATTTTAGGTAAAATGGGTCTAACAACGCCACTGTATATATATATATATATTTACACACATATAACATACATGTACAATGGATTTCGGGAAGTCTCTTCATTGTGACTTTCATTTCTAAGAAGAATAGATATGCTTGATTTAATGTACTGAATCGTTGTGCACTTCCGTAAACATTGATTAATTAATAAAATATTAAATAAGTGCATTTTCGGGCCTTTGGTCTGAGAAAGAATACTTTCACACATTGTAATAATAACTAAATCAGTTAGAAACCGAATAAAAAATCTTGGTATTATTTAAGAATAATTTAGTTTTACTCCTTTTGTTGCAATGGATATTCTTGGCGTGGCAGGATGTCTTTTTTATTTTGCTTCTAAATTCCCCCCCGTATGCAAGGAATGGCTAGGGTTACTAGCAACTGGCGGCGAGGGATTTGAACGCGGGTCAGATTGCTAGACGAGATCGCTACCGCTGCACCACACTAGTTAGACATTCTGCTTTTTATCCCCTTTTTTTTAAATATCATTAAGGAGATTTACAAACCCGAGGGACTAGCAGACATTCTTAATAACACGCAAAGGGACGAAGGATGTTCTTCTTTACAGCTTAGACGTGGGTGCTAATTGTTTTTTTTTTTTTTTTTTTTTTTTTTTTTTTTTTTTTTTTTTTTTTTTTTTTTTTTTTTTTTTTTTTTTTTTTTTTTTTTTTTTTTTTTTTTTTTTTTTTTTTTTTTTTTTTTTTTTTTTTTTTTTTTTTTTTTTTTTTTTTTTTTTTTTTTTTTTTTTTTTTTTTTTTTTTTTTTTTTTTTTTTTTTTTTTTTTTTTTTTTTTTTTTTTTTTTTTTTTTTTTTTTTTTTTTTTTTTTTTTTTTTTTTTTTTTTTTTTTTTTTTTTTTTTTTTTTTTTTTTTTTTTTTTTTTTTTTTTTTTTTTTTTTTTTTTTTTTTTTTTTTTTTTTTTTTTTTTTTTTTTTTTTTTTTTTTTTTTTTTTTTTTTTTTTTTTTTTTTTTTTTTTTTTTTTTTTTTTTTTTTTTTTTTTTTTTTTTTTTTTTTTTTTTTTTTTTTTTTTTTTTTTTTTTTTTTTTTTTTTTTTTTTTTTTTTTTTTTTTTTTTTTTTTTTTTTTTTTTTTTTTTTTTTTTTTTTTTTTTTTTTTTTTTTTTTTTTTTTTTTTTTTTTTTTTTTTTTTTTTTTTTTTTTTTTTTTTTTTTTTTTTTTTTTTTTTTTTTTTTTTTTTTTTTTTTTTTTTTTTTTTTTTTTTTTTTTTTTTTTTTTTTTTTTTTTTTTTTTTTTTTTTTTTTTTTTTTTTTTTTTTTTTTTTTTTTTTTTTTTTTTTTTTTTTTTTTTTTTTTTTTTTTTTTTTTTTTTTTTTTTTTTTTTTTTTTTTTTTTTTTTTTTTTTTTTTTTTTTTTTTTTTTTTTTTTTTTTTTTTTTTTTTTTTTTTTTTTTTTTTTTTTTTTTTTTTTTTTTTTTTTTTTTTTTTTTTTTTTTTTTTTTTTTTTTTTTTTTTTTTTTTTTTTTTTTTTTTTTTTTTTTTTTTTTTTTTTTTTTTTTTTTTTTTTTTTTTTTTTTTTTTTTTTTTTTTTTTTTTTTTTTTTTTTTTTTTTTTTTTTTTTTTTTTTTTTTTTTTTTTTTTTTTTTTTTTTTTTTTTTTTTTTTTTTTTTTTTTTTTTTTTTTTTTTTTTTTTTTTTTTTTTTTTTTTTTTTTTTTTTTTTTTTTTTTTTTTTTTTTTTTTTTTTTTTTTTTTTTTTTTTTTTTTTTTTTTTTTTTTTTTTTTTTTTTTTTTTTTTTTTTTTTTTTTTTTTTTTTTTTTTTTTTTTTTTTTTTTTTTTTTTTTTTTTTTTTTTTTTTTTTTTTTTTTTTTTTTTTTTTTTTTTTTTTTTTTTTTTTTTTTTTTTTTTTTTTTTTTTTTTTTTTTTTTTTTTTTTTTTTTTTTTTTTTTTTTTTTTTTTTTTTTTTTTTTTTTTTTTTTTTTTTTTTTTTTTTTTTTTTTTTTTTTTTTTTTTTTTTTTTTTTTTTTTTTTTTTTTTTTTTTTTTTTTTTTTTTTTTTTTTTTTTTTTTTTTTTTTTTTTTTTTTTTTTTTTTTTTTTTTTTTTTTTTTTTTTTTTTTTTTTTTTTTTTTTTTTTTTTTTTTTTTTTTTTTTTTTTTTTTTTTTTTTTTTTTTTTTTTTTTTTTTTTTTTTTTTTTTTTTTTTTTTTTTTTTTTTTTTTTTTTTTTTTTTTTTTTTTTTTTTTTTTTTTTTTTTTTTTTTTTTTTTTTTTTTTTTTTTTTTTTTTTTTTTTTTTTTTTTTTTTTTTTTTTTTTTTTTTTTTTTTTTTTTTTTTTTTTTTTTTTTTTTTTTTTTTTTTTTTTTTTTTTTTTTTTTTTTTTTTTTTTTTTTTTTTTTTTTTTTTTTTTTTTTTTTTTTTTTTTTTTTTTTTTTTTTTTTTTTTTTTTTTTTTTTTTTTTTTTTTTTTTTTTTTTTTTTTTTTTTTTTTTTTTTTTTTTTTTTTTTTTTTTTTTTTTTTTTTTTTTTTTTTTTTTTTTTTTTTTTTTTTTTTTTTTTTTTTTTTTTTTTTTTTTTTTTTTTTTTTTTTTTTTTTTTTTTTTTTTTTTTTTTTTTTTTTTTTTTTTTTTTTTTTTTTTTTTTTTTTTTTTTCAAACTTAATTTTCTTTTCCAATCCAGCACCGAATAACTAACACTCACATCAGACACATGAGAGTATTCCTCTCCTTGTTTGCCGGCTTCTGGGATTAGACCATGGCATCAAGATACTGTAATTGGTACCCAAGACACGTGGCTGCACTAGGGCGAGGCGACACAATCTGCGTTCTTAAGCATGTGACTTGTTGGAGGAAAAATTGCTCTCTCGTAGTTTTCAAATTAAAAGATACATCTTCTTTTTCCTGTGATAAATGGAGAAAAGGGAATTTTAGTTAGATTGACTTTCCTTTTCTAAATATATTGGATATGGAAGTGTACATGTGAATGTGAGCTGGTATCTGTCCATGTATATATGCATGCACACAGCTGGCGTGTGTGTGTGTGTGTTATACATTATGTGTGTACACCGATCTGCTTGTATGTCTATCTATCTAACTCTACTTATCTATCCGTCTGTCCACCTATTTATCTTAGTGTATATCTGCCTATATATCTATGTAGCAGTCTCTCTATCTGTGTATCTATCTATCTGTCTGTCTATATATCTACATGTATGTATGTCTATCGATCGGCAGTATGCAGTGCAGTGTGCTATAGCGATGTAGATATACATTACAGTGTCATTACAGCTATGCATCTATCTATCGATCTATCTCTGTCTATCTATATCCAGTTCATCAAAAGCGATATAGATATACATTACAGTGTCTTGCTTACTCGGGTGACATTTCCGCTGGTAGCCATGCTTGCCGAAACGATACTGCCCGTAATTGATGGTTCCCAGGCGCCTCTCGCCAGGAAACCTCCTTCGCTGTGTTATAATCTGCGGGAAGGACCACGCTACGCCCACAAGGACCAGCAACACCATCGTCAGAAGCAGCTGTTCGGGTAAGAACGTATGGGGTTATTTTAGTTCGTGGTGTTTCATTTAACTGAAGGCATGCGCGTCTAAAGGCGTCCTCAGACATTTACGTTCCTTAAATGTTTTTCTAATTTAGACTTTCAATTAAAGCGTGTCGATATATGCGTTATATACGTTAATGCACTCTCATGTTCTCTGAATGTAGTGTATTAAAGTGAAGATATCGATGCTTAAATCAACACGATATCTGATAAACATAATTGGTCTGAGTACATCTTTGGCCGCGCTCACCCTCAATTGATATTGTTTTACCTTGCTACCACTATAATGACTCCTGTTTGTTTCAGTCAAAGCTAAAACATATCCTTAAAACGTTTGTGTCCACAGGAGATACTTAGATTTTTGTTTAAGAAGAACGACCCAGAAATCTACTTACGACTTTATTCATGGTAAATGAAGTATGTTGTTTGCTGCTATCGGCAATGTCTGTAAGAACAAATCACCAGTTTTATCTCGAAAGTTCTGAGACGACTCCACTGTATTAAAACGTATTAGATTTTCAGTTAAAACCAACAATTCTCCATTTGCATGTAAATATACTGTATGTGTGAGCGTGCGTTTAAAGATATATGATGTATAAGCATATACTGTCTGTACACTCATACATCCATATATATATCTCCATTCAGTCCTATGTTCTTCTTTACAGCTGTATCTATTTTGATACTTGTCAAAAATATCTATGTAGCCACCTATCTACATATGTATGTATGAATCTGTATGTGTGTGTATACGTATGTATATGTTTATATATGATATATATATGCTGTTATATATATGCTGTATGTTTATGTATATGTATACATATGTTATATATGTAAATATATGTTTATGCACCCACACACACACACACACACACACACACACACACACACA